TTCCAAATGTGCTTCGCGCCTCAACGGCGTGCACTTTTTCATCTCTCATCTGGCCAGCTGGCTCCGCACCCGCCGCTTTAGCGACCCTACTTTTCGACCCTCCGGAGCCCCAAATCATTGGAAAAACAGTGTTTCGCGACTTTCCTACCTTTTCGCACATCTGCATTTTCTTTCTTCTTACTCTTTCTCTTCTGATCTTCTTTCTTCTAATCTTCCTCTTCTCTCTGCCTCTGCCCTGCTCTCCTTTTCATCTGTCCATATTGTCGGAAGTTTGACTTCTAAACTTCCTTCGATTATATTAAATTAAATTATATTATATTATACTATATTATATTAGGTATTATTATATTTTAATTATTATATTATTTTATTTAAAATTATATTATTTTATTTAAAATTATATTATTTTATTTAAAATTATATGATATTATATTATATTATATTATATTATATTATATTAATTATATTATATTAATTATATTATATTATATTATAGCTTATAGCTTATATTTTTACATTATATTAAATTATATTATATGCTTTGATATTATGTTATTTTATATTAAATTGTATTATTATGCTTTATTATGCCATATTATAATATACTATATTATATTATATTATATTATACTATGTTTTATTATATTATATTATGTTATATTATATTATATTATGTTATATTATATTATATTATATCTTATTTCATTTTATAGAATCTAATGTAGTCTGTCAGTCTGTCTCTTAATTTCTGGTTAAGCATCATCTAGCAGGATTTTTCCTAGAGAAGATCCTCCCTGTTTCAGCCAGGTACATTGCCTCCTGGCACAAGCTCAATTTGCAATGTCACCGCAGCAGGTGGGGCCGGGCTGGGGTTGTTTGAGTCGCTGATTCAAGCGGTGAAAATCTATTGATGTGATACAGTCATATAGATTCATATAGTAGAATAATCATCAAACCCGGGTGGTAATTATTTGAAGACTTTGAACTTTGCAATGATCTGCCCTGCCCAGACCAAGACGTCAGGCATTGATATCTGATTTGATTTGCTTTTTGTTTTTTGTTTGAATGGTTTGCAATCTGCTTGCTGTGATAGGACCAGCGGGAATATATAATAGATGGCATTGAACTCCTCCATACTGGTCCATACTCCTGCGCTGAGTTGCCAAGCCACCGATAGGCAGAGTTGGATCTGGATCTTCTAGTTGAGGAGCTGTTGATGAGGGAGGGGGCTCGCTTCTGCATTCCAGTTTAAGGAGCCCAAAAGGGCCACAGTAAGACAAGTAAAAGCTTCGAAATATCCACCAAAAAATATTCGGATTTGCACAGACCTATCGACCGGAAGTTGGCCGTTGTTACTTCAGGTTGATGGATAGTGCACCCCCCAAAATCCCCAAAATCATGTTCCTTCTTAAAACTACAAATTTTGGGTGGTGGCGCTCCTCCATTTTCACGGACCAAACCCACGTGGCCATGGGAAAATCCAGCTGAGCGCCTCTTGATTGGTTATTATAGGTGGTTACGGTACCTGGTCTTTGTGGGGGGTTGTCATATCTATCTATATATATATTATATATATATTTATCTTACGGGAATCCCTACCAAGCTCTGCGCAGGAATGCTGCCACGCCTTAATGATTGAGCAAGTCGCACACGGCCACATCGATGCCCAGCAGATTTCGCGCGAGGTAGAGGGCCATGGGGGGCCACAGGGGGCCTACCAGATACTTTACTGTTGTTGATGTATCAACCAGGGTTTAGGAAGGGCACAGAAGTGATGCTTTATCACTTGTGAATTACTGAATTCATTGTGTCAGACACTGAGGGGACTGGTGCATGTGCACTGACTCTGGCAAATACACCAGGTCCTACGAACTGTTCTTAGAGGCACCGCTGCTGTGGACAACCGGAACGGAGTCGTCTACAAGTCGTGTTTGGTTCTTTGACAATTGCATGTGTGCACACCACGAACATCACACATATTCTGCAAATTTCCGCAATATCAAGGCTTAAATGCACACACGGAGACAAATTTGGACACATGCGCAATGAACCACTGTATTCATTATAAATATTAATATTAATATATTAACATCTTATTATAATTACAATTAATATTTCGATTTAAACAAATGACTAAATAAATAACTATATAAGTTATAAGTCTAAGTTGTAACAGTTTCATATTTGTCCACGATGCGTTCCCACAACAATGGTTGGGGTTCGCCATCAAGTTAACCTGCATTTCCCTGTTCATCCCTGTTCAGGTTGGGGCAAACCACGCAACTCTCCGCAGAACATCAGCCCTTCACCACTAACAGTGCCTTAATCTACAATAGATGAAATTGTTGGTTTGCGACGCGAATGCAATATTCCAAGGTGAGAGCTGTATGGAGAAAATTGAAGGCGTTCGATTGCCTGCTCTTGCGATCAGGTTTAGACACTGCTGAGTGCTTTCTACTAATAGGTTCAATTTCGACCAACTCCATCCATGATGTTCCGCTCCAATTTCAACTTCTTTGACCTTGAGAAGACTTGGTAACATGAGTTCCACTTCATATTTCTTGCTCGGACAATTGTGGCATTCGAAATTCTTAGGCCTGCCCTGATCTACAAAAATCAGCACCCGAGGTGCGGCAACACCTCCCGCAATTCCTCGAGAATGAGGTCACACCCTGAACATACTGGGGATCGAGTGATTGCAGTGTGAACAGCGTTAGTGACTGTTAGTGTTGACAGCAACAAGTTATTTATATAGTTATTTTCAAGAAGAGGCCAGTACGTTTGCTCGACCTGAGCCTTGGTCGGCTCTGATAGGATCATACTTTGATAACGTCAAATGCCGAGAGGCCGAGATCATTCGCAAAGTAAAAACGAACACTGTGAAGATCCACGTTGCTATGTTTCCTCAGGTCCGAACTCACGCACATTCCAGGGTGCCCGGCTCAGACTGTAGCCGTGGATTAGTCATGGGGCAATGCAAAGGTGTCTTGAGGAACATCCATGGCTGCAAGATGCTGCAAGGGCTGACATATGTTTTAATCGATGAATATCAACGAAGTTAGTTGGAGGACATCATGATGATCATGATGATGATGATGATGATGATGATGATGATGACGACGACACCATGATGACACCATGGTGACACCATGATGACAACATGATGACAACATGATGACACCATAATGACAGCATGATGACAACATGATGACAACATGATAATATGATGATATTGATGACATTGATGACATTGATGATCATGATTATGATGATGATGACGACCATGCTGATCATGATGACGATGATGACGATGATCATGATCATGATCATGATGATGAACATTATCATGATCATGATGATCGTGACTAGGATGGCAGCAATGGTTACGATAGCGATGACGGTGGCGATGGCGATGATGATGATGATGATGATGATGATGATGGTGATGATGGTGATGGCAACGACGGAGACGAGGACGATGATGATGATTATTATTATTATTGATATTGTTTTATGATGACTATATAATTGTGATTATGGTGATGATGAGAATGACGATGAGGATGATGAAGATAACGATGATGATGCACATCTTGGAGTTTTGTAGCTGCCCAAGACTTTCCAAGCAGTGGCCGTCAAGGCTGACCTGTTGATGGATGATGGGCCTGCAGGCTGCGAGAGTCAGGCCAGGAACGGGTTTGCCGACGCTTTAGCATTCGAAATTGGGGACCTTCCACATGGCCTCCAAAAAATCAACCAGGCTTTCCCTTAAAAGTCACCAAGGATAGGTGAGAAATGATGATGATGATGATGATGATGATGATGAGGATGAGGATGAGGATGATGATGATGATGATGATGATGATGATGATAATGACATTTTAGAGTGTATAACATATATATATATATATATGTATTTATATATTATGAATCCAACCATGTTAACATAACAGTCCAACTAATTGTGAATAATAAACCCAAATTCATTTTATAATTCAAAGTAAAACTGTCACATTTCCTACACAGAACAGATCTTAATCAAAATTAACGTTGGGGATGTAAGTTAAGATTTGCATTGATCAGAGGTGCGAAGTAGGCTTGATCTAGCCAATACGAGACCAAAGGGTTCTGCTGTTTCTGACGATCGTGCATCAATTTTTCAATCAATAGACAGGAAATTGTCTAACCTGATCTATTGGACAGGTTTTCCACCAAAACTACAAATCCATTCGCAGGATGCACTCTTTGTTGGCGCATCGACCAGGTTCTGGGCTGTCAAGTCCTTCCCTGCCGCAGCCCGCAAGGAACGATTAGTCCGTGCCCAATTTCTTGAAGCAAAACAGTTGGAGAAAAAATGATTTATATTGATTTATCTGTTTGTAAGCAACAATTGTGAACAATTTTGCTGCAAAAACAGTACGATGCCATCCATGAAGCGTTTTGCTTCCTCAGAGCAAATGGTACCAGTTCGCTCCGCTTTCAACCTCTTCTTGTTCAGAGCATGGATCACCAAAGTTGTCGAAGCATGCTTTGTTTTGATAGAGAAGTTGCATTAAGAAACTAGGATTTGCCAATTTTGACTGATTTTGGATGGATCCGGAATCCGGCTGTATCAATAGTTGTTCAGATCACCCGGTAAAAATCTGACCAGGTGAACTCGTAGTTTCACCAAGGGCATGCCAAATATGAGTAGGTGCTTGACACGGCAGGAGAAAAAAATCAGCAGGAGCGAATTCGCTGAAGCGGGTGTGGTTAGGTCCTGGGATGCCAAAGCCATCCAAAACCTAAGCGACTAGATTAGTTGCCCTAAGAATTTGAGCTTTATGGGAAGATGGCAGGCCCAAAGTTGGGCAAGGTGTGAACACGGTTTCTCGCCTTGGAAGAGTCAAAGAGTTCAACTCACGTTGAGTTTCCTGAGGGTTTATGTTCCTTTCATCACAAAAATATCCTTCAAAAATAAGAGTACCATCTCCAGGACCTTTGCAGTCAGTACAGGGGTATCAGATAGTATGAGGACATGGCACAGGGATGTGCAGGCTAGAAAGCGGGCACAATGGTGACATGGTGGAAGCACAGTGGTGGCATGCCAGGCCGCTTCTGTAGGTAAGTGGTGGAAATTTGTTAAGCCATTCTGCCATATTCTGTCCTTTGAAAACACAGTGTAGAGCGCCAACCTAGGAACAACGAGTCGGTGAAGGAGGGTCTTGAAGAGTCCGAGGACACGAGTGGGATGTGTGACCTGTGGAATGATTGGATTGGAATGGATTGGAATGGCTGATCAGCTGAAGATGATATAAACATATATATATATATGATATCTTTTGGATGGTTACATATACAGCACCCGACAGAATTATGGAAAAAAAAACGTTTCAATTTACAGGCGCCGCCTGTCTATGATAGAAAAGTTACGAACCTTTTTTTTTCCATAATTATTGTTTCCATAATTATGTTTTTTTCCATAATTCTGTCGGTGACTGTATGTCCATCGATTCGCAATTTGAATGCATTTTAAGGGGGAATATTGAATTATAGAATTATAGAAAATATGTGTCTGAAGATATGGTATATGCCCCTAAGTCTTCCATTGATATACATAATATCATGTGATGTTCGCAATTTGAATGCATTTTAAGGGGGAATATTGAATTATAGAAAATATGTGTCTAAAGATCTGGTATATGCCCCTAAAGCCTGCCATTGATATACATAATATCTGGATGTTTCCTTTTGCCAAGCCACCAATTGGGTTGATACTGCATACTTGCATTTGCATACATATTTCCATAACCCCAAAAAACAACGGGTTTGAGTTGTGGATCCATGACATGTCCGACAGGTGGAGCCCCAAACATTAATTATGGAAAAAATAATTATGGAAAAACCGGTCAATCTGCCCTAGCCCCCTGATTTCACAGGAAAAACCAATTATGGAAATAATGGCCACCTCCAAGAATTATGGAAAAAAAAAGGTTCGGATCACTTCCGGGATATTTTGAACCCTTATGGGGAAAAATCCAATTATGGAAAAATCGGAACGCCGGCAGGTCGATGCGGATGCGGATGGTGAAGGCATGGTGACCGCAGTGAAATGATGGGTGAAAAGGAAGGGAAAATGAGGATATGACTGGTATCAGCAATGAGAAGAATGAGGCTAAAACAGGCTAAAACATGCTAAAACATGCTAAAAAACACAAGAATATGGGGATGACATATGATAAAATGGGATATCACCGACATGGATTTGAGATCAAAAACTGTGGAATTGACCCCGAAGTATGGCACTGTAATTAGGAGGGAATTTATGATTAAGAATCGAAGTGGATTACAAGGTACCATATTTTCAGACAAAGCCACATCATCGGTCAGGGAAATGACCCTTGTGGGCCCAATCAACCGATCAAACACATTCCAACATATTCCAACATTAAACCTCCAGTTTCTAAGGTTTAAAAAATTGCCGAAGAGATTGTATAATTTGTCCGCATGGTGGGCGTAGTTGACAGATGTGCAACAAAAGCATACAAAAGCATCCTCACCCTGCACCTTTCTCTGCCAGTGTTGCAAATTAGGGCGAAGTTTGCAGTGCAAAACATGGGTGTAGGCAATGTTTGTTTTTTTGGGCAAATATATGATACATGACTATAATCCTGAACCAATGCAAATGATGGCATGTTTGAGGTGTGGGATTTATGTGGGCTCTGTACTGTGCAGAGGCAGCACCACGATGCCGCAGGCAGGAGTCTGGACCAACTGGATTGGATCGGCTCCAAGATGTTTGCAAAAACAGCATTATTGGAGTCATTGGAGGACCGAAATGACCAAGTTTGTGGTTCTATTGGTGCAGGATGGTTGTTGGAACATGTTGAAACAGGTTTCAGCACCCGTTCAACCTTTGTCGCATGTTGTCACCATGTGTCTCAGATGGGCACATTGACAGAGTTCCTCTCAGCAGATTGGGCTGATTAGCCGGAGCCTCGGGGTTTGGCATGTTATTGCAGTCATGGCCTACGGCGAAGGGCACCGATGATGATGCCATGATATGCCATGTGCGCCACAAGAGGAAGTGAGCTTAGAAACCTATTGGAAGTGAGCAATTGTGGCTTGTAATTGATGGTAAGTTACATACCTCCAATAGTTGAAAATAATTTACTGTATATATTTTGGGTGCAGTTGGTAATTTATGATAATACTGATCATTTGTCTTCTTGATATTCTTGTGGCTGGCAGTGAGGCAGTCATGATGCGCAAAAGCACTTTCTCTGCCTACTGGGCCTCCGGTATTTGAGCTCGTTGATGTAGACACGCAGTCGTGCAGTGTAGAACTGCAGCGCAGATGTTGGATGGGAAAATATGGGGTCTGCGATGATCTGGGTACAATTTTTCGCGAGCTCAGCACAATCTCCCCATCACAAATGCTGGCTAGTAAGGGGGATCATCCCAAAAAAATATCCGGATTTGGTCTACCTTTGCATGATATACAGTCGCGCTGCGATATGTCTTTCAATTTCGCGTACGGGTACCAAGACGGCACCGATCTGAATGTAGAAAGGCCAATGCTTAAATGCAGTGAGTCGCGTGAAAACTGCGTCAACCATCCGATCTTGGCTTGTCTGAGAGAGAGAGAGAGAGAGAGAGACCAGAACAGCCATTTTCATCGGGAAACTGACCGTATTTTATATAAATGGGATACCCGGACACCCTGTTTTCAATATCTTGTCAGACAAACATAGACAAACTCCTTTGTGGATGTGTATGGTCATTGTATTCAATTCATGAAGGACAGGGCTTTGGATCACTTGGGATTGGATATGATTAGATTAGAATAGATTAGATCATATTCGATCGTATCAACATCGCATCATGATATTGCCACGGTTTCCTTGCCCGTCCTTACCTCATGAGATTCAACCAACAGAGAATGAGGACTTTGATCAACAAAAAATGGTGTTCAAAATCTTTCACAGTATATAGCTTGCCGTGATGTTTGGCTTGACTTCCTTTGCTGTGAGACTCGAGGCCATGAGATAGTTGTTTGGTGTTTTCAATGGTGTTTCATCCTTATTTAGTCATCATGTCATCATATTTTCCCAGCATGTTTTCCTCTTCGTGCCCTTTGCCACAGCACCAAACATGCCCTTAGCTCCACCTTGCTCGTAGCAATAGTACATAGTAGTACTGTACCATACGATTTTCTGACATGTGCCCCTCATGTTGTTGCCGACTCCCAGAAGCTTGGTTGCCGTTGGGTCGTTCTGAATATACTCAACTCCACGGTGACAATTCCGAATTCCTTGGTGTTGAAAGGCCAAGGTTTCTGCATGGACATACGTGCAACATGCATTGGGTCATTAGCTGCCCATTTGTTCATGGCTTTTGGTAAAGCATATATGTGATCTTGCAACACCTAGGCCGTGCAGCGATTCCCGGTCTTCGCTTTGGACATTTGCCACAGCAGGTCTCGACTTTCATCAATGGTCCAAATATTACAATCAGTGTAATTTCTGCAGGTTGAGGTCCTGAGGTTGAGCTTGGCTGAGGAATGTCAAGCAATGTTCAGCACAGCACATATTTTGTTCTGCCCTAGTTCTGTTTGTTCCGTTTGATCCTTCATTTATTGGGAGGTGGAGATACTGCGGACGGGGCATGTTGCTGCCGTGTTTCAGGTGGCCACTGCCGCGCTCTGCGAGCTGAAGATCGGACTGCGGCAGAGGTCTGCTTCGACCTTGGAGCTGGGCGTAGGACTGGAAAGCTGCTGCTGTATCAATGCCTTTTCTTCCAGCAATTGATCCGTTGAATTGAAGTGAAACTATAAATTAAACAAACTATAATCTGATAATATCTGTTATAAGCATATGTTTCTTTATTTATTTATTTATTTATTTTATTATTGATTTATGAATTATATAATGCTCATGTTTTTTCAACAGGCAATTGTTCTAAGGGAGCATCTAAAGTGCGTGGACGTTTTCTAATGCAGCGAATTGGTCCCACGTCCCAGGATTCGCAGCCATGAAGGCTTTGCAAAAGCTACGCTCCAAAGCGTGTCCAAAACGAGCCCGGAAGGCGGATCGGGGACACCCTGGACCTTCAGCAGCTGACCTGGATACATCGACCCTGAAAATCACCTAGTGGACACCAATCTTCCAACCCTATCTGGCAGGGTCTATGTTAATTTAAGAGATGGTATATGTGATATTATGTGATGATGATTATTATTACTATTATTATTATTATTTATTTATACTGTGTGTGTGTTTGTGTGTGTGTGTGTCTGTGTGTGTATGACCATGCGCCAATTAAAAATAGTTAAGTTATCAGAAGCATGTGATCATTCATATGGATGTTGGTCATGAGGCGGCACGGTGGCACGCACCTAAATTCACCAATTCTGCAAGGCAGCGTTAGCAAATTCGCTAGGTTTGCGCATTTTGTTTCCATATCCATGTTCACAGATTAAATTCTATGTGTTCCTGCGTGCTTGTTTATTCTTCATAGGATGCGTTCCTGAACAGGTTCTCTTCCTTGAAGCCAAGTCGAAAATAGTGAAAACATGCTTTGTTCCTAGCATATTTGACTGAATTTCTGTGCCACTCAACCATTTTCCTGGATTTTTGAGGCTGTTGTTCGATTGAGCGAATTTGTACGATAATTTTACACGCTAGGTTCCCGCTAGCAATGCACTAGCAAAAGTTGGAAAAGTATATGCAAAAGTCAGCTTTGGCTGACCCGTGACCCAGTCGCCGCCAGAGAACTTCAGTTTATCTTATAGGTTTGACAAAGACAAGAATGACAGCAAACGCAAGGACAAGCCCTGCAGCAGAAGAACGAGAAGAAGGAAAAAATGCTGAAAAACAGTTGTTGGAAAGTTCTTCCAGTTCCACGACTAGTAGCAGCGCCACTCCAAATAGACATGCACTAGAAACCACTAGTATTTCCATGTATTTCCTGCAGGTTTTAGATGCGGTTTCAGACATAGAAGAGTAGGGTTTCAGACTGTTTAGATAAGTCACAATTTTGAAGACCAAACAAGGAGCGGCATGCATGAAATTAGCATTGATCAACCAAAACAAAGACATTTTGACAAACCGTCATAGCATACATAGTTTGTGTTTCCATGCCGCGTTGCGAACCTCAGCACTTGACATGTCCAACGGGTGACACAACGGCCACGGTGGGGGCCATGGGTTTCGACTGCGGACAGGTTTGGGCGGCTTGGTGCCGACAGCGCTTTCAAGATGTTCGGCCTCTGTCAGAGCAGCCTGGCTTCCAGATTTCCAGTTCTGAGCCTTGCCAACATCGCAATGATCGCATGATCGCAATGCTAGTCTTCTCTTTTTGCCAAATCCCTCAGTTTAGCCAAGCGATTTTGAAAGTTTGGCCTGGGCACATATCAGTACATGTCATAGTTAGACACAAATTACATCTAAATCTAAATCCCAGATATATTTATATCCCAGACATATGTCTAGATATTTGCAGCAGTCTATTGTCCCTATCGTCCCTTCTAAGTTTCACAAGACTCAGCGGAGCCTCAGGTTTCCGGCTTGCCATCATGCCATAGAGATGGCCAGCGCGCACTTTGGAGTGACCTTTGGTTGCACCTACGCATCTAGGACATCTATAGGATGTATGTTGCATAATGTTGCATAATGTTGCACGTTAATTATATATGTTATAGATTGTTATAGCATTCTATAGTTATGACGTAAAAGGCTTCATTTTACTGGAAACCAGCAAATAATAATAATAATAATAAACAAAAAAAACAAAAAAAACAAAACAAAAAAACAAACAAAAAACAAAACAACAAACAATAAAAATACAATAAACAAAACAAACAACAATAAACAGCGCACGGTTTGAAACTCAGAGAGACTTTGTGTTTCTCCCTAATCGCCGCAGCTCGTTGATACCACTTGCTCTCAAAGTCCACAGTCTGCTGCGTTGCCTGCTGCCAAGCTGCGACCAAGACTCCCAAAATCCAACAAGGGCTGCCTAGTCAAAGCTTCAAACAGTGCCTATTGCCCTTGATGGGGGGCAAGCAATCAGTCTAGGGGGTGCCCGCGGCGGCTCGTGGTACTCCTTTTTTTTTGTGGTACCCCCTTTTTGGATTGTTTTTTTGGCGTTTTTTTTTTAGTTTTTTCCCTGGGGGAAAAAAAAAGAGAGTTACCACGAGCCGCCGCGGGCACCCCCTAGACTGATTGCTTGCCCCCATCAAGGGCAATAGGCACTGTCTGAAGCTTTGACTAGGCAGCCCTTGTTGGATTTTGGGAGTCTTGGTCGCAGCTTGGCAGCAGGCAACGCAGCAGACTGTGGACTTTGAGAGCAAGTGGTATCAACGAGCTGCGGCGATTAGGGAGAAACACAAAGTCTCTCTGAGTTTCAAACCGTGCGCTGTTTATTGTTGTTTGTTTTGTTTATTGTATTTTTATTGTTATTGTTTTTTGTTTTTGTTTTTTTTGTTTCCGTTTTTTTGTTTATTTTTTTTCATAATTTTAATTATGTTCCATTTTCCAATGAATGAAGGTCTCTCGACGTCATAATTCTATAGTTAAATTGGTTTATTAAAAAACTTAAAGCTGGCGGGCACCGCTTGCAAGGGAATGACCAGCTTCGAGACCCCAAATACCCCAAATGACGGTGTTTCGCCCTTGTTTTTACTGCTGCATTTGGTATCCTCAAAACATCCATCATCAATGCCATCGTGAATCCCCCCAAGACCAAAGCAGCTGGGCGAGCTAAATGTGATTCTTCGCAGCTACGACAAAGGCCAGGTGATCGATTTGCCGCAAGACACGGACAGGAATTCAGAAAGGAATTCATTGGCATATTGGATGGGAATCATGAGATGATTGTGGATGATGCTTGCAGATGTTATTTGAAGAGTTTTGTGAAGAATTTGCAGAATGAACCGGAGCTTGAGAGGAGACTGGCTGGGCCGACACGTTGATGATGCAACTTGGCAGGAGGAATTGGCTGCAAGTTGGTGCCGCAATGTCAACCCCCAGGTACTCCCTAACTTGAACAGCCCCGGGAGTTATTCATCCGGTCTTGACATTGTCTTTTATTTTGACTTGATGTATTTCCAACAATGCTTAGCCTTTTGGTGACATGTTTAGTGCGTGAGAAGCTCTGCAGGTTCGAATGTTTGCTGAGCCTGTTCTGGCGACAATCCTGAAGCCCGGAGGGCAGAGGCGGACTTCTGCTGATTCGTTGTGGCATCGATTGGTCGAAACTCCTGACTTGAAGTAGGGTCAACTGGAGTCAACTGTAATTGAGCTATGGATGCTATATGGATGCTATGGCAAAAGGATCAAAAGGGATGGGGGGTTTGATATGGTTTGATGGTTCTCCAAACCCAGCGGAATGCTATGAGCGGGACTGAGTCGCGCTGGCAGGGACGGCCTTTGCTTCTCCTTGCCTCAGAGCTCGCAGGGGTTGGCCGCCGCGCGGGCAGATGCCGAGGCTGGATGGAGTGTCGATTTTGGTCGTTGAATATCTTAAATGGATCCAAAGAAATCGCTGCAGGCCGCTGGCATTGATGAGCTGCTAGGCGCACTGCAGAGATTGATGATATTCCGGGCTTTCATGCAGTGCGTGTGCGGAATATTCTTGCGCAGGATCCAGGATCCAGTTGAATGTGTGAAGCACGGAGTTTCTAAAGTGGCTTCCTCACCGGATTATCAGCCCTGTGGACTAGATCAACATGGTTCTTCCATTGTCAATCTCAGAGATAGGAGAGCTTTAATTGGGACCTTAAGTCTACATTCATGAGAATAGGACTGTTTCGGTCGACTCGCATGCCTGTGGAATTATGCTGCTTTTGCAAAGAGCATTCAGGAAAAACTGTAGATCGGGAATCATTGGAATACTGTACCATACTGTACACGACCAAACAAGGTGACTTGATCGCGACGGAGATTGTACCAAGAACTCTTGACTGAAACAAGTTTTGATCAAGACATTGCTAAAAAGTATGACAATGTGCACCGTTCCGTCAAAGCAAGGTAAATATTATTTGTAGTCCCGCTAAAGCTGGCCAAATGGGTTTCACACAGGGAGAGGATTTGTATATATTTGTATACTGTAGACTACCGCTGAACAATATCTTGGAAGAAAGACATCAGTGCTGATAAAGCTTGAGAACTTGAGGTACGAAACCAAAGTTTCCGCAGATTTTCCAGACTCAAAGTTTTGACTAGCACCTTGCCGCCCAGCATGCAGCTTGGTCCAAACTGGTGCAGCGGATGTATATGGACTCCCTCTTTGCAATGGCTAATTGTTGCAATTGGAGTTGGTAAATGATTGGGCTACTGTAAGTGCACATCTGTGGAAGTAAATTGTAATTTTGCAAGTGTTCAATCAAGACCCATTCACTAAATATGATCACGCGTTCGCCTGAAAGTTTTGGGCAACATAGGGGGTCGTCCAATTCAATCTCTCTACCGGAGTCTCCACCTACTCTGGAGCCTGCAATCGATGCTTGACTCTCTGGATGACAGAGGGAAGCCGATGGGCTAGCAAAATTGTAAGGGTCATCAACAGTTGCGAAGATCATTTCTGCAGATTTTTCGGCATCTCTTACTTCCCAGTTTTGCACATGCAATTCAATCTGCATTCAGGATGGCCTTGCGCGCCGCTGCAGCGCGTACCGCGCAAACCAGTGGGATCTACTCCATTAGTGCTTTGGCTTTCTGACGGGCAGCCTCAAGCGTAGGTTCTTAAGCCACATCCATTTTTTTTTCTGTTGGATGTTTGGATTACTTGGGAGCGAGCGCTTACCGTATCATCATGTATCATCACTTATCCTTCAAGGAATGCAGGTCCCTGGCCTGGAGATGCCTGGATCGCACCAGCACAGTTGTTTTTTTCGGAAAGCCTTTGCATCAATTTTTTTTGCTGAAGTTCAGACAGTGGTGTGATTTCGATGCTAAGCTGTTCACCAAACTGGCCTGGTGAAGCATGCAGAGAAAATCTACTTGCGGCAGTTGTTTTTGAATATACTGTATTTAATTTTAGACTGTTTCATCAGGACGAGGACACTTAAGAAGAACATAGAAAGTCACATCAGCATGGGAGCTTCATGCCTGGAAGCGCGCGGCTGATACCAAGGATGTTTCAGTGCTTCTGCTGCACGAAACCAGGTCAGTGCTGCTTGGCAATGGCACCACAATGTTGTCAAATTTTATGGAGGGTGTAGACATGTGTAGACCATGGCAGACCGATTCCGGCAACTGCACGGAATAATATGATCACAATTGCAGCACATACAGTATAAGAGTATACATCCATGTACCATATTCCATCATATTCAATACATTCTGATTCGAGTTCCGAACTGAAGTGGCACGCTACAGCTGTACTGTACTAAAGATCAGGCTCGAAAACACATTTTTCCGCCCAGGCCTTCCAGTGGCTGTCGTTTTTGGCCAGTGGGGATCTTGTGGACTTCCCAATGCTAGGGAAAATATGTTTCGCCTAACATTAATCGGCCAATAATAGATGCCAATAGGTTCGTGTTGGGCAAGACTGTAACTTGGTGCTTCACAAATCATGGTCATCTATCAATCGGCAACTATTTAACATTATTTAACCATCAAAATAATACTATCAATGGATATCAATGGAATTTTCAGGACCCTAAAGTGGAAGTACGGCGCACCTAATATAAAGCTCATATGTTTGGGGGATAGGGTTATATCTATCCGCTTATATAGCCCTTATACATAGATCTTACATATATGGTAACTCCAATAAATCGCTTCCATCGACCCAGGCCTGGCGAAAACCACTTGCAGCTGGTGCAGCTGGATTGGCCTTCTACAGCAGCCCATGCCTGGCGGATGGTGCAAACAAGGCCCGATACCTGCGACTTTGACCGCGAAATGGCTATGTTTTGATAGGGAAAATCAAGGAAAACACATGAATAATGCAACTAAAGCAGATGGAAATCCAGATTTTGAATGAATTTGAGCTTAAACTTATGAAAGTATGCAGTAAGCAACACATTTTATTCAAATCCACCAGCGAGATTCATTCACAGATGATTTCCGCAGATTTTCTAAATAAAGCATGGGATACCAGCATTAAATATGTTTAGAAACATAGGACAAGCCAATAGAATCAGCGCGCTATCAAACAGAAAGTTGAATGACTGCAGTCCCATCTCCCCAATAGTAACTATGCCCCCATAATATCCCGCAACATCTTGTTGATCTTGTTGAGTATTGGATCATGTTGGATAAATCGATCATTTGATGGACCCATATGGAGCATATGGGGACACTCAATATTGGAGGAACTGGATCATCCGATAGTCTTCCAGGATGGCGTGCCTCCCTTCACCATGGATGCACCAAAGTACGACCAGTGCCTGGGAAAATCCTTTGTTGATCGAACCTGAGAGGGAAAATGATGAAAAATTGCCTGCGATGTTGGAATGTTTACAGGTCCACTCTTACCATTTCCAGCATTGGGTTACCAGAAGATGCCAGAAGATAGTTCTCTTGGTGTCAACATGCGGTGGCGTTCCACACTGTGCAAACTTCGCGGTTTTTGAGGCTTTGGGGGTTGCTTTTAGCTGCCCAGGGCCCAGGATTGCCAAGTACAGATTAGCTGATTAGCCGAGGTCCAGCTTCTATGGCAGACTGCAGCTTGAATGGAGTTTTCAGAGCTGGGGTTTAAGCAAGGGGCTGGACTTCGCTGGACCAATCTTTAAGTTTCGATGTATCATGGAATGCCCCCCCAAAAAAAGAATTCCATAGTCATTCAAGATCTATCCAGCTGATTTGCTGTAACCGACATTGAACGCTCATCCTTTGCACATGGGCTGAACTACTCTCCGACATGTTCGGGGATGGCATGGCAGTATATGGGCTTTGACTGCTGAGGATGGGAATGTACGACTACATTGACCCACGAACTTTGCTCTTGACAAGTGAAGACTTGAAGAAATCACTGGAATTCTGGTTGCATTCTGGGTGCAGCCACTTTTCAGTTCTTTATAGTCCTTTTTATGAAGCAACAGCAATTGCTATTGTTTTGTTGAGTGATCATTCTTATTCTTTTAATCATTTCGAAAGGAGTTGCTGCACAGTGTGCAGTCTGGGAATGTGGTTTGTCCTCATTCCAGGCAGATCCCAACGGTCTTTGCATGCCGACATGTTTCGCCTCCAATGGTTTGCAGTCAGGATGGAAACAGAAAATCTAAAAATACCAGACTCAGAATATACATCAATATACTACCATAACCCCTCGAATGAAAGTGCTAGCGGTGCTAGGTGTTTTTGGTAAGCTTGCTTCAGCATGCTTCAGCAACAAACCATTGTTTGGATATATGTTTGGCATTTCTGTTGCGTTTTGGGGTCGTGCTTTGGAATCACATGCTTTTTTGGCAATTGGATGAACTTCTTGATACGATACGCTGATGGCCCGAGGCAGCACTTGAGCAATACAAGAAGACCGGCAAGACGCCAGAAGGCGCCGTTCGACATCGATCAAAGAATCATGAGGAATCAGCTAAGCATGAGGTGAATAAGAACCCAAGTGACCATTTTTTTTAAAGATCCCTTGCCCCATTAAGAACACACCAAAATCACCAAAGGAAACACTGGTTTCGTATGGTTTAGTACTGAGCCGTCATCTCAGCTCAGGCATGTCGGACGCAGAGATGTGGCAGCACCGAAAGAATGTGGAAGCTCTTTGTCTCTAAATGAGGTACAGCAAAAACTGCACAATTTCCATCAATTTCCCTTTTAGCACCTGGAAAATGATAAGCAAGCATCAAATTTGGGGGCGCCCTACTTTCAGACACGCATATTTGCTCGGGGCTATTGTAATTTATATATTTACATAGAAAGTGTCAGCCCATGTCAGCCCGTTTGTGAATAAGGTGCGTACCAAGTACCAGTTTTGATATTAATCAATAACTATTTTGGGGAAAGCCCCCAATCAAGTAACAGAGTTGCCCAATCCTGGGTTGAAATTAGTATGCATTTAGGCCATTCCTGCAGAACATGTCGGCAACTGTGGAGGTTTTAAGGATTTTGGTTATTTTGAGCCGTGCCCACGGATCTGGCTGATGGTTATATAATATACATACAGGTATTTTCTTATCTGTCTATTTGGGATGGTCATCCACAGCAATAACTGTTTGGGGCCTACAGGGGTACAATTGTGAGCATTTATTTTTGTGTATTTTGGAAGACCTGCCCAGCAGGTTCAAAACAATCAATGATGGATTTGAGCTGGGAACATCGGGGATTACTAGGATTACTAGTGGAAAATCCATTGACAGTCCACTAATAATCCATTAATAGTGCATGAATGATCCACTGTATCTCGTTATGTATATATAATCCATTGACAGTCCACTAATAATCCACTGTATTCCATTATATACATATATATATACATGCCATATCATGCCATTACATTATTGTCTATTGTGATGTGAGGATTCTTGGCAAAAGAATCGCAGTCGTCAGATTTCCAGGTCAGCATTCACCCAGTCACTGGAGATGAGCTGTTGAAGGTTGGCCGCATGTCACTTGTCCTTAAAACCGGGGCTCGAACGGCCAGGAATCGGTGTGCGAAACCTGAGATCTACAGTGATCCAACATGATCCAACTCTGCCTTGTAAGGTCCGCCTTTGTGCCGATGAATGTGCCCTTGTGCGCTTTCATGTTGATGGCCAATGGCACCCCTCAAGTCCTTGCTGCACAATGGCCCGGGACCAAGATGGACAAGGGACCCAAGGGACGTGGACGTGCTGAGGCATGAGTCAAGTAGGGCGGTTTTTGGGCACGGCACGCCACAAAAGATCGACAAAGGCATAGATATAGTGGCAAACTGTTTTTTTTTGTTTGGGTTTTACTGTGGAGTGGCTTCACTCTACGAACACTTGCAACAGATTGTTGATGGTTTCATCATTTTCATTGGAAATATATGGTACGGTGATAAGGTGCAATTTTTCTGGTTTTGGTTGGCTAGAATCCACCTGACCGTAGGCTGAACCAGACCTACAACATGGTGAACAATTATGTGAACCGTTCCGGTGCCACTGTCCCTTGGCTTGAGGTGATATCTATGGAGTCTATGGACCTATCAAATTCCCATTGAACATCAATCCAGTTGGCTCTCATGTTGGTGGACACTGCGTGCCCTCTGGTAAGTTAACATAGCGGAAAAGGTGCATTTATAGATGATTTACCATGATTTAATATGATTTACCTATGTTAGAACACTGATTTTCAATAGCTATGTTCTCCAGAGGGTACACAAAATGTGCTTCGTCACCCAGTGGCATCAGTGGCCTCTCACTGGCCTCTTTGGTCAGGTGGAATGGAGCTCTTTGTTGCAATCCTACGCTTTGGCTGTCACTGCCTCCTGCTCCATTGCTGCTGGATCAGGCGACGGCAATTTGGTGAACTCGCGGAAGGACATGGGACGGAAGGAGAATCCAATGTGGAGTGAACCATCTATGTCACTATGGTTTAATCTATAATTTATTCTGATTTAATATCTTTGATGCATTCCCATGATTTCTGATATGTTTTTTTAAAGATTTTATAAGTACCTTCCATGGTATCGGATGAATTGGTATCCCTTTGTCTCAGCGCATTGGGACGTGCGGATTCGCACATTCGGCTGCCCGTTTCCCGTGGTTTAAAGGCTCCACCCGGGTCTTCCCACCCTCGGCTGACCTCAGATTGGGGTCAGTGCCCTTTGGAGACTGATTCGCAACGTTGGAAACATCAATGGATTCCCTCCCTTTGGTGAAGTTTAACAGTTTATATCGCAGTTTAATGGTTATAATGCCAGTTTACGTTGATTTCACGGAAATGCCAGTTTATCCACTAAATATCACTAAATTCTGTTATGTTGATGAAGTTTAAGTTGTTCATAGTTTTTCACAGTTTATAACACGGAAAATTCATGCAGATGTCCTAAAGTCCATGACTCCACGCAGGTCGTTTGATGAAGGCTGTGCCCGCTTTGCAGGTCATGGGGCCTTTTGTGCCTTGGTGAAACATGGTGAAACGAGGCGCTAAGGCTCACAAGCAACCACTGATGGTGATGGATGGTTAGGATATTGTTGGGATATTGTTGGGATATTGTTGGGATACCAAACTGGAAACACAACTGACCAAAACCTGAATTTCAAAGCTTGAATCAGGGGATAATTACCTACGGCAATCCGCAATCCCTAGGTACCTTGCTGATTGTTGCAATGATTGTTGCAATGATCAGCAATGTCCAATATCAATCAACATAAAGATATATTTTTTACGGCAAAAAAAAGGTGACTTTCAACTTTCAACCCTCCAGATCCCTCGAAGCGTTCACCTCAGGTGCCCTATTTGGCGGTGATCTCTGCAGGGACTGCCAATGTCTGGAGGCTCAGGAGATCCAAATGGAGGAACATCTGAGTTTCACCCCAAAATCCAGTAGCAGAAATGGCTTGAAATGGCTTGAAATGCCTTGAGACATGTTGAAACCACCATGTTTTTTGCTTTCTGGCCGTGTTGGCGATTGATTGCAGGTGGTTAGAGGCACGTGCCTCTTGAAGATGGTGGCATATGTTGGCACGTTATTTTTGCTCAACCAGTTGCCATTTTCTGACATGAGCTTCCAGCTACCCAACCTTCCACTCAGGTTTCTTTCACTCGCATGGAGGAATGGTACGGAAAGGGTGCAACTTGGCTGAGACACAGCGCGCTCCGTGATGGTGGCACTGTTCCTTCTGTAGCACCACAATCGAGCACCACAATGGACCACATAGTAAATAGATTCATGATGCGTGCACATCTCCACATTATCTCCACATTCATGTATGCGACCCTGTATGCACGCATGTACACACCTATACCTCTCAATACATTTTGTGCGATGTGTGCTGTCGGTGATGATATTTGGGTTTGTTTGAAACACGGGGTGCACGGTGCACACCCTCGAAACTGAAGATTAATATTCTCCCCTCAAAATTACTAGAGATTGCTACATACTTCATCTATCTTCATTTTCAGATGCGCCCGGGCCAAATTTAATATATTGTATCGAAATCTCATATTGTTTGTTCACGTTTGTTCTATTGGTTCTATTTCATGATAGCCCATGATAGCCCATGATTCATATGATAAATCCCCATCGCTACAGTCGCCATATATCATATATCCCATGAATTGAGGTGGCCATTGCAGACGAAGAGGGCAAGGAGTTGGGCATGTCTAGGGCTGCAGGTCAGCAGGGTACCTTGGTGCTGTTTTTATGAGCAAAAAATGTTTTGGGAGAAAAAAAACATGAGCAACAAGCCCTACCTGAACTATGGTGTTGTGCCAGACCATGGTGTTAAGGATGCTTTGATTTTAATAGGCAAACGCGGTTCCCATTCATATTCAAGAATGTTGGATTGCATTGGAAGAGATCAGATCAGAGAATGTAGATGAGAGAGAGATGGACGATTGTCATTCTTTCCAAAATTGAAGCCAAGGCGTCCTGCAAACAGTTCTCTCTCGATCGTGCTTTTTGCCTTTTGGACAGCATTGAACCACCTGTCATCAGTCATCACCTGGGCTACAGCACATTATGTACCATTTTCTCACACTCCTACAACCGTTGTGTTTCCAGGCAGCTATAAACCCACAGCCCACAGCTTCCCAATTCTTACGAAGCAGCTTGGGCACGCATTTTTTTAAGTAAAGGCCAATGACTTATTTTGAACTGTAAGCTCGGGCCATATAGGAGGGCTTCCATAAACGGGGGTACTGTAGCGGTGGTAGCCAGCAATAGGTATTGGGCTCTTCATTGAAGCTCAGGTTAGGTCAAGGCCTAAAAAGGGGCCCCTGAAGCCGGTAGCATCGGTGGCGGATGGAATGTTGACTGACTCAAGTGCCAATGTTGCAGGTACCCCAATAGCTGGATGGTTCATATATAAATGGTCTAGAGTCTATAATATGGAAAATCATGGAAAATCCCATTAGAATGAATGATTTTTAGGGTTTTTTCTCCCCATGACTTAGGAATCTCCACATGAGTGCAGCCTTGGAAAAAACAGGCCCATCGCTCCGATGGTGATGCCCATTGTGGGCATGAAGATGATTGGCAGCGTTGCACCAGTTCTCACTGCTGGAGCTGCTGGTGTGGTCGTTGAGATTTTGTTGCTTGCCTTAGCCAGTTGGCCATGGCCTTTAAAGCAACCCCCCCAAAGATAGAAAACGACCTGTTTCCATGATGGTATAGATGATGATTTCCATATATTATCATATATTTATTTAATATTTCCAGCTTTCTATTTTCTTAGGGGTTGTCAATATGTTTTATCTTATGTTCAGTAAGACAAGACACGCTGAGCTAAGGCTCATCACTGGATGCATCTCTGGAATGTTGCCTGTGGCCCTCGCCCTGCTCCCGTCGGCTGTCTGCATGTTTGTGCAGAATGACGTGTTGTTTTTTTTTTGGAATTACAGTATGATGAATTATGCACATCCAGGGCTTAGATTATTCCATACTATTCCATGTTATGACATACTGCCCGTCATGCAGATGTCACGCAGATGCATTCTGAATTTTCATCGAGGTTTTGAAGATCTTTAAGGCACCTAGAGCCACGGAAAGGTCCAGTGGGAACGCAGCGTCTCGATCCGAGGCAGAAGATGGAGATTCCCGTGAGCAAACTCGAGCCTGAGTTCCAAAATCTCAAGGCTGGTGGGCAGAACTTGATTTCGCAGCATGTTCTGCAGTTTTTACATTAGTTTTTGCGTTGGTTTAGCTCTGCCATGGGGCCTGCTGTGAGCCAACGAGTTGGTCCCAACGGCCACAGCATGCCACAGCTGCTGGCACGCCAGGATTCCAAGGGACAAGCCATCACCAAGGTGGGAGCGAAGCTTTCTCAATGGCAAACTGGATCATGTCTAGTACTAAACCCTACGAAACCATAGAATAGAATTGAATAGAATATAAATAGAATATGATTCAATAGTAGTGGCCTCTCAAATGGGGGATCCCCAGTCGTCATCATAGGTTTCAATATCTTTCAATCCTTTCATGGTCGTTTCTGACTTGGATGATTTGGGATATTTGGGAGGTACCCCCATGACTTTGGAAACCTCATCCGCCTGGCAGGTCTTTGCCAACAAGGGCCTTTGAGGTGGCCGTGGCGGAAAGTTTCATTCATGTGTTTGGCCTTGCTTTCCATGTGTGTATGCGTATAATGGTCAGCCCTTTGCACATGAGCACACACACACATAAATATGTATAATATACATGTCCGCGTGTGTGCGCGATACATGTCTCTAGACTCTCTCTCTCTCTCTCTATATATATATATATATACATATATGGAGAAATCACACACATATATATATATATATATATCGTACAAACCCCGGCAATATTAATATGTATTCGACGGACATTGGTTTATGGAAATTGATGGAAATTGTTAAAAACACGAGGTAAGCGATGGGACCTTCCCAAATTAGCGATACCCCTTTTCAAGGTTATGTCATCATATTTCTCTAATATCCACATTAGCGATACCCAAATATCACATATTATTCATAGTTCATCACATATATATATATATAAATGCAGCAGTTTCCTGCAAGCGATACCCCCCAAGTTTACCATATATCATTATTGTACAAACATGTGGTAAGCGATGGGACCTTTCCAAATTTGTGGATGTCCTTTCCGTGAGTTTTCACAATCGCTCATATATAGAGGTACTGGCCCAATTCCATCCTGGAATTGCATGTCCTCCCAGAAGCCAAAGTGGCACCACCATCCAAGGAGAGGACTGTTGAGCCAACATCAGCCTCAGTGGTCACCAGCTTTTTTCCGGTGAACATGCATATCTCTGGGCGTTCAAATTGTGGACGCCTAGGAGGCATGGCTTCTGTGCCTCCTATCAGTTCTTCATTATGAACTATCACCATCCATCCACCACCGTGATTCTTTGTCTCTCCGCATTTCTTTGAACTTCAGGAGAATGAGTGCTGAGAGGAATATGTGTTGGTGCGTTCCCTGTTGAGCAGGTTTGGCTTTTTTCCAGATTTGGATTTTCTTCGATTTTCGACCAACCTTTGGGTCACATCAAAGATCCCACCTGATTTTCTTCGATTTATCGTGGAGGCATGGAAACCTGCGGAACAATCACTGGAGTAGTCATCCGTCGCTGACGCTGCTAGATTCTAGATAGGACAGTACCTGCATCACACAATTTTGGCCGTGTCTCAAAATAGAGTATACCAGTATACATAGTATAGTATAGTATACCCCATGTTTTGCCCATTTATGGATATGTATGACAAATGTACTGGGGAATAAGATGATAAAGCATGAAAATTGTGGGGACCCCGGTACCCCATTTTCAGAGAGACTCATATAGTTGCATAGCTGCAGCTCCCCCATGTGTTGAATCCTGTAATGTCATGGTCCATTATAAGATTTATATAGATTTATAAGATATTGACTCGTGGGGTAACAAATTGCTGCTGTCTTACTGCAGATTCAACGACAGGTGAGATCCCAGTGATTCAATCCAAATTGAGTCTGACCTAGACGTGGCCAGAAAGCGCCAGCATCCCACGGCAAAAAGATGAACAAAAACATGACATTTAGGATACAGTCAACCAGGGAGCACCGAGTGCAAGTCTTTTGACATTGAGGGCTTAAAAAGCAAACACGGGGATGAACAAAAACAGGAAGCCCCTTGGTTAATTTGTGGGGTACCACTTTAGTAGAGGTTTCCTGTAGAACCGGATTCTCCTGCTGCGTGATATTGGTGACGCTTTTGCTATTGATTGTGGCATCTGGCTTCCAGTGGAAGAGCTTTCTACACAAGCTCTCCCCTTGCTACCGAACTTTATTACTTTCGGGAGCTGTGTGAGAGGTTGCGCATGGTTACTTGGCTTCTCTGTAGTGCCTTGTTCGGTTGCTGCAATGACAATAGATTATATGGATTGCCACGAGGCACTTTGCTGATTTTGACTGCACACTATAAGAACTGTTCTCAGATCTCCAGAATTATGCTCCAATGCCAATGAATTTTGATTTGCAACGATTTTTGCGGAGCGACCTTGTTGCAACTCTTGAGTTACCTGGCAGCCACTTTCACTGAGGCTGCTCGTTTCTTGGTGACAGCTTTGGTATTCTATCAGGTGTGGGGCAAAATTCGGGTTTGTTTGAAAACATGGTATAACCAAAATTGGCCCTTTGATTGGAGACATTGTGATTGACAAATAGAATTAGAGGTAATTAATTACCCTGTGTGTAGACGAACTTATGTGGTTCAAATAAGTGTGGAGCGGGGGATAGATGACCTTCAGATCTGGACACTACTGCATATAGACAGCGATTATTTGTATATATTTGTATAATATACGCTTGTCCAGATAGATTGCTAGACAGACACACCGACCAACTGACCAACCGGTAGACCGACAGACCGACAGATAAAAACGGTTGACTTTATTACAATCTTGTTGTACATATAATACATTCTATCACAGATACCCTTTTGATATTAGAAATGTAAATAACAGGAGGCGGCCTCCATCAGAATTGTTTTTCTGATCGCTTTCGTGCAAAGATATTCTGAGAACCGCTAAGACCGCTAATATGACAATGTGTATTTATATATATATATATATATATTGCATGTACTGTGTACATCATATATAATAAATAATACCTATCTATATATATATATATATATGTGTGTGTGTGTCCGTATCAGGAACAGATCCTAGAAGCAGCTCACCATTAGCCGCCACACAGCCACGCAAATGGAGGCAACTGGGCAAGAGGTAGCCAGCTGCCAGGACTGCGCAGCAGAATCAGGCTGGTTGCAGATCTTTGGGGGGTGGACTCCATTTACCCTCTGGTAAACTAACATATAACTATGGAAAGATCCACCATTTTCAATGGGTTTTTTTTTACTATAAATCACCATTTTCAATAGCTATGTTAAATTACCAGAGGGTACCAGCTATTTTGGATTATTTTTGTGTTCACTGTTACATATTGTTACATATACTGCTACCTTAAGGTTTTGGTCCATAGCTCGGTGGCTTTGTCAAATAAATTTTGTCATGTCCATTGTCCAAAAAGGATCCGGGGGATGCCACCAAATTGCAACTTGAAGGGAGAAAGACGTGAAGAAATATCACGGAAAAACCCATGAACTCTATTGGGTCGATTCGATCTTCCAAGTATATTTTTGGAACAACCATGAACAACCTCACGTAACGACGTAATGAAACGGATCAGGTGACTGGGAGTAAACCAACAACGTGGTGAGCCAATGGGAAACGATGACTGGTCAGGTGAGGATGCAAGCTTTCTGCAAGCGACCAAAGCTAAAGGGCCTCACATCGAGGCCAGTGAGAGAAAGGACTTGGGACTTGAGCCAGTGTTGGAATGGTGGATTTTTGCATGATTAATTTATACTAGTTACTAATATGTTTGTTATAATTATCATTTATCATAATTGCACATGGTCTTAAAAGGACCGTTTAGCCTTTTCGTTTTGGAATGCTGACCCATTCGATTATCATTTGAACGAGGCACCACGCCCCCAACCCGGAAGTTCACTATCCTTGAGGCTGCAAAGGGCGGTCTCTACATAGATAACAAGAATCCCTGGGCAAGATCAGCGCCTGGGCAAACATTGGAGCTTTATTGTAGGCCCATCAGCGGCTGCATGATAATAGCATGACAAATTGTTCGGATTTGATGAAGGCAGTGATAGGGCATAGATTTTAACTAATATATATTCCTGTGTGTGTGTGTGTTGGCAGTGTTAAATCAGTTTTCCGATTCGTACATCTCAATGGCTGACTCGATCAATCGATTCAATCCATAAATACATTATATATACATAATTACGTATTGTATGTAATTAGTTGAAGCCATATATCTATCCATTGAATTCCATTGATATATTAAGATTTACATGCATAATCTATCCATAGATTTAATATATTTCAATATCATGATAAATAACAGCAATACACATTATAACAACATACTATTATTATATAATAATAACAACAACAATAATATGTTTATACTATATATATATATAAGATGTTATAGATATATATATATATATATTTAGTATGATCATATGCCTCCACATTTCTTGGCCACCGAGGCCAAGAAGCGCTACAACCATCATCGACATATGCATGAGAAGGCGGCCTTGACAAATGGGGGAACAAACATGGGACATTATTCATGGAGATATAGTTGTTGAGATTTGTTTCTACTTACAACACCATCGAGATCCGTAATGATATATGATGTTGATAATCTAGGGATGATAAACACAGGCCAGCTATGAATGATGAAATATTATACCGGTTATATGTATATGATTTATACAGGATACATCATATATCATTAACCATGGCTGGCTAATTATTACTCATTACTCATGGATATATATATATAATTATTCCCAAATACCCGTATGTCCGTATCCAATTGCCAGAAGATTCCAGAATTTTCAGCGAAACCTGTCCGAAAATGGAGATGCTTTTGTTTTGAATGATTGGTGATCTAGCCAAATAAATGCACCCACTTTTGGATTCTTATGTAGTTATGGTCATTTTAATGTTACACGGTTATATAATAAAATTAGTCATGAAAAAATGTTCCAATCCCTCCACAGAATGAGTATTCCAGCTGAAATCCTTGATGCCATAAAAGCTATTTACCAGAAACCGATGTTTCAAGTGATGCACCGAGATAAATTTTCGTCATGGTTGAGCCAACGTACTGGAATCAGGCAAGGCTGTCCCCTCAGCCCATACCTATTCATTGTGACAATGCACGTGCTATTTCATGATGTTCACCGCAGGTTCAACGACCCACGCTACGCAAAAACTTTCCAAGGAATTAATTTCCACGAATTGCTGTACGCAGATGACACATTAATTCTGACCAAAAGCTTTGCCAGTGCTAACCAATACTTGCACCTTATCGAAGAAGAATCTCAATATTTGGACCTCAATCTTAACAAGTCAAAATGTTGCTACATTGCTTTCAACTGTCGCGGTTCTATCGCTTTCCAAAATGGGGATCCTATGAAGTCGACCGATGAATCTACTTACTTAGGAGCTTCTATCACTCGCACGGTCAATCCCAAACATGAAAGAAGACGACGAATCTCAGCTACGATGGCCATTTTGAAAAAATTGGACATTTTCTGGGGAAAAGCGCAATGCAACAGATCTTGGAAACTGCGCGTATTCAATGCAGTAATTACTAGCAAAGTTCTCTACGGCCTAGAAACCTTGGAACCAACTGAGTCAGCTGGACGTCTTCTTAATACGTTCCAGCTCAAAGGCTTACGAAAGATTCTGAAACTACACACAACATACATACAACGCCACAACACCAATGAATACGTATACCGAAGGGCAAATGAAACCCTTAACGCGCCGACTACAGGTTTCGATCGAAAAATCAAACCTCTGACCGAAATTTTGGAGGAAAGAAAACTCAAATTACTCGGACACATCCTCAGGAGAGACAGAAACCACCCTCTTCACCAAGCAACTTTTTCAAAAACATCCGCTCTCCCGAGAGAAACTGAAATGCGAAGAGTCGGAAGACCCAGACAGTTTTGGACCAGTAACAATATGCAAAAAGCATGGGAAGTGATAAGAAACACAGACCCATCGGTACCCCAAATCCCATTCGACAGATATAACAGAGAGATACGGGAACGAATCATCGAACAAGCCCATCTTTACCAGCCCCCTTTTCACAAAGGAAACGGTTGAAGACTACACAGCTCAAACTCAGTGTGAATGACTCTCAGTGTGAACTATTCTCAATGTGAAGCTCTCCAGTGTGAGACACTTTCAGTGTGAACTACTCTCAATGTGAAATATCATCAATGTGAAGGCTCTTAGCATTAATTGGAAACTTGTTCTCTATACTTTCACAAGTGAGCGTGGCCTTAGGAGTGTATATCTTTTAATTCAGAGCTAGTTAGTGCCTACGACCTTTAGTATTGACCAAGCTGGAGGTTTTGGTAGGAAAAAAAAACGGTTATATCATATATATGTACAAGGTAAATACCTCAAACAAACCGCTCGTGAACTGAAATGCTCCTGGATTTGGTGAGGGTTGCAGGTAGTGGATTCAACAGACTACAGTCAAGACGCTACAGATGTCTACGAGAGTCTTGGCCGCGCAATTTTTCTCGAAGATTTCCTGGGACTCTGCAAGTACATGAGTGTCGTTTCCCCAGAACAGCGTTGCCAGTTTGCAACCACCGCCGAGGAAGGTCAAGGATTTGAGTTTAGAAGAACGCTGTCCAAGAGTCAAGATTATGACCTTGGATGAGGCCTTGGCTCAAAGATCGCCGATTCTTTTTCCAATGTTCAGATGCTTTCCATTGGATGACGCATCAGCAATCATCAGCATTTGTGGGATGGGAAGTCCACAGCTTCTGGCAGCTATTGATGGCTGGGGTCGCTTTATTTCTTTGCTGATGTATCAGACAGGGATCACACTATCAGGTGCGTCTTGTCATGATGATTGTGGCATTGTTCCAGATGCCATCACAGTGCAGTCTACAAAATCGTCGGAGCATACCGGAACCAATTTGACAAGTGATGTTGAGCTCGTATATAGAGTGACTACGGCTGGATGCCAGCGCCAGGTGCAAGACAGATGGAATGAGGCTTTCGCCGACTTCCAGCAAAAGAACAAGGCCCAGATATGAGCATGGAAGGCATCAAATGACTATGTCCATGCCCAGGCTTTTTTTCGGGTTCAATCTGTTCAGCTTTGTGGTGTTCCATGGTGTTCCCCTTCCGCAATCTTCTGTGCATCGGGGGCACAGCCATAGCCAGGCCGATGGCACGAAGGCTTATAAAGAGGCACTTGAGGAGTCCTCTGAGGGTGGGCGAGGCAGCGGGATTGTGCATTTCCTAGGGGCGCCTGAGAAAACCATAGCTTTCCAGTTTTGGAACTCTGTGATGTGAAAGTATCTTATTCTATGACATGCACACACAAAACCATAATGAGCACATGCACATGAATGCACCTACGGACCTACAGTGAATTGCTGCACAATTTCTTCAAGCATTGAAACATTGGACCTACACTGAGCGGCAGGGACGGCATGATGGTTGATTTCCCCACTATACCACCATTTTTCATCTCCGAAAAAAAGCCTTACCAACTATTCCGGTTGGTGAATTGGGATGATATCCCTACATATCACCACTCTATCCCTTGTGTTTCCACCATTTGGGCATGTTTTGGCATGTTTTGCCATGATGATCCACATTGACCTTGCTATTTTTGGGACGCCAGCCTGTCGATACATTCTTGCAGGACTTAAAGGCAGACTTCGCCGACGCCCTGGACAATGCGAAACCGGTCATTGTCAAGGCGAGTTTCCAAGCTGATTTCAACCTGATTTCATCGCATCAAGGTGTGGATTAAATCATTGGATAATTTGTTGGGGAAAAATCGAATGGGAAATCGGAAAACCGCATGGGTGTTTCCCTGCACATTTTCCCCAGTAAACCAATCGACATATGTACTAAATATTACTAAATAATATCAAAAATATAGTGATTCCATAGTTTCATTTTTGTTTAAGATGTTTTGGGATTCAAATGATTCAAGGCCAGGCTTTGACCAAGAAAAAAATCTGTTGAAAACCGCTCGGGCTCAGGGAGACGTTCCCAGACAACTGGGATGGAAGGCGGCCGACCACTGGGGGAAAGTGCCTTGAGCTGCTGGTTTATTTCATGGAAAATCCTATATGAACGTTGATGATTTAGGGGTATCCCCATTTCAGGAAACCTCCATATGGATTACAGTATATAATATTATATAATCATGATTCGTCCATATTGGTCCACTTGTATTTCGGATCATTTTGGGGGATATAGATATTTGACACTTTCTTGTGGTTAGACAGTGGTGAAACCCCCCAAATAGTGATCTTGTAGATTTGGCTCCCAACGTTTTCAGAAAGGGGTTGGGTGCAAGCCTGACGATGTGAGGCATCTCCAGCGGGCTATGGGGACATGCATGGACATGCCAACTCGAACGATGTTGATCATACCAAATTTTGGTACAGAACATGCAGATGTTTGCAAGCTGGGGATTGGGCAATGTTTATTTCTAAACGACAACTGTCAATGACAACACCGAGGGGCCGCCTTTGCAGGTTGAGATACACCGGCGACAGGGGGGACAGTTTATGACAGTTTGCTCTGCCAAGGATGAACTTTCCCGCTTTCTGGGTGATACAACCTGGCAGAGGACGGGCCTGGAAGCTTACCATCCCTCCAAGACTACGATAGACATGACCCTGCCATGATGTGGGGGTCTGGAAGACTACTTTTCTTCTACAAATATGACAGTGATCATCAATGATTATCAGTGATTATCAATGATTATCAGGGTCACGCTGTTCGTTGGGGACTGTTGGGGGGATGCAAAATATGGTGAACCTCCTCCGAACTGGGATGATCGCAGTTGACCGTGAGTTCCGTTGGCAGGGGGCGTACAGACGTTAAACAAACGTTCCGACATGGTTTGCCATAGAAGGTAATGAGATTAATGAGTATATTATGTTTCCCAATGATGGAAGAAGCTGTTTCAAAGCAAAGCAACATGCAGTTGCATGCCTTTTTGTGGTTGTGATTTGTGCAACATATTGAAGCCAAGGCTGGCTTCGAAAACATTTCGTTTGCCAACATTTGCCAAACGATTTCAGAAACTCTTGTCGTCAGAATCAGGACCACCTTCAACTATCCAGCAACTGGTCGGAATGTGCCATAACCTCCGCAAAACTCCGGGGCATCAAACTCCAGCTTAATTCGATGCTCCCAGTGAGTTGTGCCCATGAAAAAATTGGTGAATTTCCATGGATTTCCCAGCCATTGGGCCATGGTTGAGAGGGTCGAAGAGGGTCGAATCAGTTGACCGAGGATTGGATCATCGGGCTCAACAGTCGGACCAGCCTGAAGGATTACCTGGCAAATCACGACAGTGTCGCGACGAGAAGTCCCAGAGGATTCAGGATATTTCAAGACAAAAAAGAACCAAGAACGATCAAGAAAGATTGTAAACATGATTCGATTCCTTTGCATTGTCCCATCCTGGGAGATTGGAAGCAACATTGCGCTGCAGGTAAGGAGAATGTGTTCCTTTTCGCGAGCGAGAATGGCTGTAGCGAAGATCATGCTTTGAAATCCCTGGTCGATACCATGAGAAGATGCTTGGATCAATTTCAGCTCGAAAACTAATCCCATCTCCTTATCCCTCACATGAGTTCCCAACGTGACTACTGTAACTAGAGCCGACACAACACCAGGGGTTCTGGGGGGCTGAGGAAAGTGACTGTACATCAGATCACGTGTTTGCATGTGAGCACGCTCTTCCTTTGGCTGCCCTTGTTTCATGATATTCGCAACATGTGTCACAGTGCTGCCCCAGTTCTTGTTACGATTCCGATATCACACATGACAATGGAGAATTCCCATCGGAACATCTTCCAGAAACGCAAGGGTTCGCACTGGCACCAAGGTCATTTTGCACCCAGTCCAGAATGGGGATACCCCCCGGAAGCCTGTGAAGCAATCATTGCCGTCGATGGCATCGGAAGCTCCCACGGCTTTCACTGCCATGATCCTGTTTGGAACACGCAAGTCTCAGGCATGGGAACATCATGGAACATCATCAAAAAGAATCCCAAAAAACATCCAGAAAGAAGAACAACACAATTCTTGTAACTTGTAACCATTGGTTGATTTTTGTTTCGGAAATCTGATGCCACATTTTTTCGTCCAGGCACCAAACACTGGTGGCTCTTGGACCCCTTCTATGGCTCGTTCCACGGCTCTTCAGTGGTGTTTGTTGGAGTTCTGCATTGTTACCATGATGTTGTTTTCCTGGTGCACGTCATGTTTGTTCATGCAATTACCCTCCAGTAGTCAAAGATGGCAATGGAGAATCCTCCAGATATGGATGAATTTTCCATTGAAACCTCCATTTACAGGGGGATTTCCCATTGCCATGTTTGATGACCAAAGGGTACCGTTAAAAACAATGCTGTTGATAGTATGACCTGATGGTGATGGAAAGAACGTGATGGCGCTCGGGATTTTTCATCTTGCATGTGCACATGAGGAACATTGTGGATTCAGCCGGCTACATGGATGCTTTGCCTGAAAGCCAATGAAAAAAAACGTATGTGAAAAAGATCCAGATGTTCCGACTAACTTTCATGTCCTGGGCAAGAGGCTCTGCTTGTCTGGTCGGTCCATATTCACAGCATACTGACTATTGATGAATCAGAACATCATTTTATATCATGCATACTGACTTGGGACGCACATATCTTCAGCGCCATATCGACTATTCCATCCTGAGATGGCTCCACGACATGAGGAATGGGGCGGTGCACCGAAGCTTCCGAACTCGAACAAGACCTTCGAATTTCCCAACGGCTGCGCCATGCTGAAGGAGGCCCACAGCCGACTGTTGGGTATAGTTCCATCTCCCCAATATGAAACACCATGAAACACCCTATAAATGATATAAATGGTCCCAAATGAAGTGTAAATCCATGTAAATCCCCTACTAAACCAAGGTTTCCAGGGATGAATTACTGAACATTACTGAACCATCCAGTTTCAAGGGTCAATGGTTTTGAGTGACATGGGTTTCAAATGGATTGCCTAGACAATCAATGGCGCTTCCGTTCATATGTTTGTGTGTGATTGCGTATGATAATATTTGTAGGTAGTTCCCGTTTTTCCTGCTTAATGAGTCTAGTGGGGTTGTCCATTCATTTGTCAAACAATTTGTGTGCGTATGCTATTGTAGTGATAGATGGGTTGAAAGTTGATGTAAATTCCTTCGCGGTGCGAATATCTTTCCGATCAAAGTAATGCCATCATTTCATCACTTGACCGAGGGAGATCGAGGGAAAGATACCTCCTTACCCAACTGACGCTTGCCTGTAGGTACAACCACCGTCCTAATCTCAGTGCACAGCATCAGAGATAATGATCATCCGGATTGGAAGCCGGATTGGAATGCGGGACCGGCTGCTTTTTTTTCTCCCTCTGTACGTCAATGCCTGGCAGTACAGGTATGATTATACCTATTAGAGAGCCTTCCCCCCCCAAAAAAAATCCCGACATTCAGCGAAAGAATCGGCAAGTTTTTCCCTGCAGAGTCAGCAAGTTGTAGGGTATATTACCATTTGGATGATGATATATTGGGCTAGGGTAAATTACCATATTACTTTGTGTGAGATATTACTTATTACCATATACTCACCATATGTAAGGTAATATTACTATACATGTTATTGTATGTTACCAATATGTAATAGCCTCCCAAATAAATCTGTGGCCGAGTCGACTCGGCCACTCAGGGAAGGCGCAATCAAGTGTGTCGTGCAGCCAGGAGCGGCTTGGTGATGCGGTACAAGTTGTTTGGGTAAGCATCGAACATGGACATAACATACTAGACTAATATAGACTATATAATTACAATCATCTACAATCTTAGATTCAAAGTTGATTTTATATAAATCAGCGGTTCGAACTGCCTGGCTCATGTTTTGGATTTCAGCAGGTAGCAAACATATCTACGAACGAGCTCCTGATATTTTCCCATCAAGTCTTTGGTGTCCGCTGGAGTTCCAGATAGAGTTGCATCACCAAGACACCGAGTCCAGGCACTTCGCAGATCCTTTCTCCCCAGAAGATAGGACCCCTATACCCAGCTTTCCAAAACATATTGAGATGATTTGAGATGTGTTTGTATGTTTTTTTGGGGGGTTCTCATCATGGCGGGAGCTTGAAAATGCAACATATGCCCACCTTCATCAAGGCGCGCCTGAAAATGAGGTGTACCATGGTGTGCCCTCATTTCATAGCCATTTGAATCGGGACGATGAGGTTCCTTCTAAAAGACATCAAATATATTCAAAATATATTCAAATATCATAAATCTTGAGTGTGGCCCCATGTTTTCCCAGAGTACCAATCGGTACCAAGTCGCCAATGTTTCCATGTTTTCCCATGTTTTCCTCCAATTTTCAGGTACCAAGTCGCCATCCGAGGAAATGATCATCCTCCCAGACTCCTGGATGCACGCCACCTGCGGCCTCACCGAGTACACCATTGCTGCTGGTGGATGGTTGGGCGTTCCCTGGCGGCATGATCATCATCAGCAGCAGCATCATCGTCATCATCACCATTAACTACCATTATGATTGCTATTTTATGAATTACTCTGATGCTCTTCATGAGTTGTGCAGTTGGGTGACATGAGAAATTCCCATCAGAAGTCGGACCTTGGTCACCAGGGGACCGCCAAAGAAGATGATAAAGGCACCGCTCCGAAGTGAGAGACTAGTGACTAGTGCAGACGCGGTGAATCCTCGCTGAAGCTTGCGAGAAAATTCACTGCTTTTTTTCACTCTTCTTGCAGAATCCAGGGTCAGGACTGGAGAGTTCTCAGCCTCCAGGGCATAGACCCTGGTAGTTTTAGAGAGGCTCCACGGCCGCCGGTCTTTTGGAGCTGATCAAAGCAGGCCTGTCTTGGTCCGCGGCGAACCCAGGAACCTGGGAATCCTTGTTTTTGCAGCTGTTGTTTCAAGATTCCTTTGGAGCTGCGCGTGGCCGCGAAAAGGAGTACCGTCTCAAGTGGCTCAAGGTTCATTCATGGTGATGAAAAGGCCACTGAAAACCATTCATAGATATTCATAGCATTTCATAGCCACTGCCCAGTGACACTGTCTAGAAGGTTTAGATCATTGGATATTGGTCTGTTCGTGTTGTGTTTCAGCACAGGGGATGATGCGTTGCCTTTGGAGAGCTACCAGGTGTCACGGGATCTTAGAGATGCTCAACTGTGCTTGCCAGATGATGGCCAGAAAGATCCATGACAAAAGCATCCAGTATTATCATGTATTATCCAGTGATCATGCTGTTTTTGATGTGTTTTATTATTATTATATTATTTTTGCATCTTTCATCATCTTTCAATTTCTTTTCCAGCTGTCCATTGAATCTTCTGAATCCTTTCGGGAGAATCCAGATTTTATAGCGCCCTTCCAGGGTTCACAATGGGGACGGCTTATAGTTGGCTCTCAAAGAGGTAAAAAAGTATTTAAAAACAGAATCCTACTATTACAATTGCGCAGCGATCAAAACCCCCCAAGAAGAGCTTAGTTAAACTCGTCAACTCCAATACTTTCGCGGAAGCTGGCACTGCAGTCGCGGAAGCCCCGCGAAAGGTCTCACGGAACCTTTGTTTACCGGGCGCATCGCGGAAGACCCGCGGAAGAGCATATGTGATATATACAAATGATTGTGTTCCACCATCATGGGGCATAGATTTACGGCATGGTCCACCAGGTGTAGGGCTTGAGTTTTCGTTGTTCATATCCATCTCGTAAAACCACTGTGATAATCAGCTGCTGCAGTGCTGCTGCTCTCCAGGTTGGCACACCGCTACACAATGGTTATACCAACCGTGTGCGATATTCCTGCCCCAGTTCAAATGCAAAAGAACAAAGTTATGAACAAGACCGTTGCGGAAGCTCCGCGGAAGAGAAAGTCAACACAGATGCACTCGCGGAAGCCAAAACTTACTGCGGAATATGTGCGGAACCTTTCGCGAAAGCGAATGGGAGTATACAGCAGGAATCATCAGAGGGTTTTGAACACCGCTCAATTACGTGTTTTTTTGAGGGTTACAGTCATTCATTCATCCTTGTTTTGAGATATTCTGAGGTATAGTAACCACCATGAATAATTCAGAGATATTCTGAACATTTGCCACATTTCAACTATGATTTTTCCGGGATTCTGAGATTTCATGCCACGTTACTATGAGATTCTGAGATCTTCTCAGCGGTTTCACCATGGCCCATGGCCCATCACCATGTCGGTCAGCGGTTCACCCAGGTCTCAGAAAGCGATGGCAGCCTGCTGTGCCTGGAGAGGGAGGCACGCTTCCTCTATGGCCACGAGGCCGGGCCCAAAATGTCATGGAGTTTTGGGGGGAAACCATCAAGAAAGACTAAGACTAAGAAATGGGGGATTCAATGGAATTTCAGGGTGTTGAATGGGATGGAACGATATATATATATATAGTATGTATATATATATAGTATGTATTATATATATAGCATGTATATATATATAGTATGTATATGTGTATATATATAAAGAAAACTAGCCAACAATCTACTAGAATATGAATAAATATATGATATTAATCCCATCCCCCTAATATCAACACCGGCCCATGGTTCGATGGTGGATGTACGGGATGAAACCACATCATTGGGACCATTTATATCGGGGTTGTTTAGTTTAATATGAATGGGGGCATGGGATTAACAAAATTGAGGTTTCCTAAAGTCATGGCTGTACCACAAAGCATCCAAATCACGGATGACCATTTGAGTATATAGGTGAAAACCCATGGTGACTTGGGGATCCTCCATTTTAGATATTTTAGGAAACCTCCATATGCGCATTTTAAGGTGAAAGATAACAACTTTGCCCAGATGACACTTGTATATTCCTTGGGCCCATGAGTCATCAGAGATCCTTGGTGATTTCTCAAATATATTTCTAGAATTTCCTACATTTCAATTAATTAAAATCATGGTTCCAATATGTTCCATTATTTTTTTCCAGATAAATACTAGGTGCGTTTTAAGTTATCAGCCACCTACCTCAGATTTTTGCCGTCACCCGGTCACCCCGTGAGTCCTCCACCCTCGAGGTGCCGGCAACGCGTGCGCCGCGCATTTCGATGACCTGGCGGTGGCTCCATCCAAGGTGGTGGTCGGGGTACCTTCCGAACAAAAAGTGGGGAACATGATGTTTTGTTATTTCTGATAGAAACCATTGAGATTTTAAATTGTAGTTTTTCTTCTAGCAACCAGTGATAATTTTTAAAAATGTAGTTTTTCTTCTAGCAACCAGTGATAATTTTTAAAAATGTTGTTTTTCTTCTAGCAACCATTGAGATTTTAAATTGTAGTTTTTCTTCTAGCAACCAGTGAGTTTTTTTTTTAAATGTTGTTTTTCTTCTAGCAACCATTCAGATTTTAAGTTGTTGTTTTTCTGATAGCAACCATTGAGATTTTAAGTTGTTGTTTTTCTGATGGCAACAATTGAGATTTTCAGTTGTTGTTATTTCTGATAGCAACCATTGAGATTTTAACTTGTTCTTTTTCTGATAGCAACCATTGAGATTTTAAGTTGGTGTGTTTTTCTTCTGGCAACCATTGAGATTTTTTTTTCCTGATAGCAATCATTGAGATTTTAAGCTGTTGTTTTGTCTAATAGCAACCATTGAGATTTTGAGTTGTTGCTATTTCTGATAGCAGCGAGTGAGATTTTATGATGTTTTTTTGCCTTATAGCCACAATTGAGGTTTAAAGTTGTTATTTCTGATAGCAACCGTTGAGTTTTTGAATTGTTGTTTTTCTTTCGGCAATCATTAAGATTTTCTATTGTTGTTTTTTTTTTAAATAGCAACCATTGAGATTTTAAGTTGTTGTTTTTCCTACAGCAACCATTGAGATTTTCAATTGTTGCTTTTCTGACGGCAACAATTGAGATTTTGAGTTGGTATTATTTCTTTAAAGCAATCATTGAAATTTTAAGTTGTAGTTTTTCTTGTAGCATCCATTGAGAGTTTAAGTTGTTGTTTCTCTTATGGAAACACTTGAGATTTTAAATTGTTGTTTTTTTCCTGATGGCAACAATTGAGATTTTAAGTTGTTTTTTATTTCTGATCGCAACCATTGAGATTTTAACTTTTTGTTTTTCTGATGGCAGCCATTGAGATTTTAAGTTGGTGTTTCTCTTGTAGCAACAATCAAGATTTTAAGTTGTTGTTTCTCTTAGGGCAACACTTGAGATTTTAAGTTGCGGTTTTTCTGATGGCAACAATTGAGATTTTATGTTGTTGTTATTTCTGATCGCAACCATTGAGATTTCATTTTTTTGTTTTTCTGATGGCAGCCATTGAGATTTTAAGTTGGTGTTTTTCTTTTAGCAACAATCCAGATTTTAAGTTGTTGTTTCTCTTAGGGCAACACTTGAGATTTTAAGTTGCGGTTTTTCTGATGGCAACAATTGAGATTTTATGTTGTTGTTATTTCTGATCGCAACCATTGAGATTTCATTTTTTTGTTTTTCTGATGGCAGCCATTGAGATTTTAAGTTGGTGTTTTTCTTTTAGCAACAATCCAGATTTTAAGTTGTTGTTTCTCTTAGGGCAACACTTGAGATTTTAAGTTGCGGTTTTTCTGATGGCAACAATTGAGATTTTATGTTGTTGTTATTTCTGATCGCAACCATTGAGATTTCATTTTTTTGTTTTTCTGATGGCAGCCATTGAGATTTTAAGTTGGTGTTTTTCTTTTAGCAACAATCCAGATTTTAAGTTGCGGTTTTTCTGATGACAATAATTTGGATTTTAAGTTGTTGTTTTTCTGATGGCAACAACTGAGATTCTAAAATGTTGTCATTTCTGATAGAGACAATTGGGATTTTAAGTTGTTGTTTTTCTTATAATTTCTTATAGCAACAATTGAGATGTTAAGTTGTTGTGTTTGTTTTAGCAACCATTGTGATTTTAAGTTGTTGTCATTTCTGATAGCAACCAGTGAAATTTAAGTTGTTGCTTTCTGATAGCAACCTTTCAGACTTTAAGTTGTTGTTTCTTATTGTAACAATTGAAATTCTAAGTTGTTGTTATTTCTGATCGCAACCATTGAGATTTTCAGTTGTTGTTATTATTTGTTATTTCTTGTAGCAACCATTGAGATTTAAGTCGTTGCTTTTCTGATTGCAACAATTGAAATTTTAAGTTGTTGTTATTTCTAAATAACAACCAGTCAGATTTTTAGTTGTAGCTTTTCTTATAGCAACCATTCAGATTTTAAGTTGTTGTTTCTCTTATGGCAACAATTTAGATTTTAAGTTGTTGTTATTTCTGATAGCATCCATTGAGATTTTAAGTTGTTGTTATTTCTGATAGCAAGCTAAGTTGTTGTTTCTCTTTTAGCAACAATTGAGATTTTGAGTTGTTTTTTGTCTTTTAGCAACCATTGAGATTTTAAGTTATTGTTTTCTAATGGCAACCATTCAGATTTTTAGTTGTTATTTTCTGAGACATGGCTGAATACCCTGAATCAGAATGATTTGTCCAGAAGGTTTGTTGAAGGATTGAAGGGTTTTGTTTCTTCTCACCCTGGTCACAACGCTGGACGCTGGTCACAAGATCAAAAGACACCGGTTGCGTATGCAGGTGCTGTTGTAATTGCTCTCTTGGCAGTATTCTCTATCCGTTCCCGTCCAACATTTTCATGATGGGAACTGCTGCAGAGATGCATCAGCGAGCCCCAAGCTGCTGATTGATTTTTCGAGCCAGGTATCAGGAAGAGGTGGATGAAGTGCGTGCGTGGATGGAGAATGGATAACAATGGAGAAAGGGTTTGTTGTGGTGACCGTGGCGGCTGCATGCAGTTTGAAATTTGGCTACAAATTTATGCGGTAAATCTCAGGACACTTAATTGCTTAATATATATATATATATATATACGTACATATATTATATGATTCAATTATCAACTGCCTGGCAGGATCGGATGCCTATCGGATGCCGATGGTTGTCATTGGGATTTTGTTGAACGCTGCAATGATGGCAATCCATTTGAGGCTCAAGACGTTGTCCAAGCCGACCAAGGCAGACAGAGCTTGAGAGCAATGACAAGCATGAGGTCATTGAGGTCACCAAGAAAATTGACCTAACATGACCTAACTCAAAGATTTTCTCAAACTTGTCATCCTTTTGGATCTGTTGGATCCTCAACTCAAAGATGTTCTCCCACAGTGAGGATATTGTAAATCTGTCATTCGGAGGCGGTAAGACAACTGTGAAGCTGTAACAGATGCCTCAGTCTTTTGGCTTCGTACGTTGCAAAGCCAAACAACATGCATTCGGTAGCTCTGTATCATGAGCTGTTGTTCGTAAGGGCCCCGGATGGCCCCAGCCTGTGCTTGGGCATGTGGCCTGTGGACCATTTTGGGGATTTTGAGGGGATGAAACCCCGGGAGAGGATGCTGAGAAAGCCAGGGTGCCTGGGCAACCATTGACCATCTATGCTTTCACCAACTCTTGTGGCTTTCAACCATCATCAACCAGCAACAATCAGAGATAATCAGAGTGTTTAGCCCTCATATGCCCTCAGTACATAAGCATCATAATAGCATCACAATTTAATCATTTACTGAGCTATGCATAATTATCAACTGAGCTATAGATAGTGGTGATCACATTTACCTTGTCAGTCACCATCACCAAGCCATACAAATCCAGCAGATCAAGCATCCAGCTCAGGCTCTGCAGCGAGATCGAAGAAGGATCTTCGGTTCAGCCGGCGAGATTTCGATTGCCAGAACTGGTCAAGTTTGCATAAGTAATCTATATAGGAGTTTGTAGGTACAGGGTCACACAAGAACCTGGCTCCAAAATTGCTCAAAAGTGGTTCTAAGATCTTCAAAAAATATCCTAAAAATGGATGATTTAATACATTTTGAGATCTAAGTCTAAAGACGAGGGTCCTGGTACCAGTTTCAGCAGCCATATCACACCAAGGCTTAAGGCCAGGGCTTCAGGTTGTGGTGATGTCGATGTCGGGATCTGGCGGAAGCAACAGCTGAGCTTGGGAGCTCTCAGTGATGCCCAACAGCTATCCATACGTCAATTCATGGGTTATTTTCCATGATATCAAATGGGGATATGATGGGAATAAGCCTACCATGTCTTACTGGTGCTTAGTAGGGAATGAGGGAATGATCCAAAATCACTAGTAATAATCATCCCATTCCCCCATTGCCATCCATTCCCTACTAAGCACCAGTAAGATGTTCCACCTTTGACCCTATCCATAGCTTCAGAGATCACACCACGAGTCATCGGAGCACTGATCTGCCATGGCGCCTGGCGTGCATGCGATCGATGCTTCGACGAGCTTCTTCATGACATTTATGCTTCATGGCTCACTTAGAATTACGATGATTTACCATGACTACTATGATTTACTATGACTACTATGATTTACTATGATTTACTATGATTTACTATGATTTACTATGATTTACTATGATTTACCATAACTACTATGATTTACTATGATTCACTATGATTTACTATGATTTACTATGATTTACTATGATTCACTATGATTTACTATGATTTACTATGATTCACTATGATTTACTATGATTTACTATATGTCTACTATGATTTACTATGACTTACTATGATTCACTATGATTTACTATGATTCACTATGATTTACCATGATTTACTAAGATTTACTTTGACTTACCATGATTTACTATGTTTTACTATGATTTACTATGACTTACTATGATTTACTATGATTTACTGTATGTCTACTATGATTTACTATGATTTACTATGATTTACTATGATTCACTATGATTTACTATGATTTACTATGATTTACTATTATTTACTATGATTTACTATGATTTACTATGATTTACTATGATTTACTATGATTTAATATGATTTACTATGATTCACTATGATTTACTATGATTTACTATGATTTACTATGATTTACTATGATTTACTATGATTTACTATGATTCACTATGATTTACTATGATTTACTAAGATTTACTTTGACTTACCATGATTTACTATGATTTACTATGATTTACTATGATTTACTATGATTTACTATGATTTACTATGATTTACTATGATTTACTATGATTTACTATGATTTACTATGATTTACTATGATTCACTATGATTTACTATGATTTACTATGATTTACTATGATTTACTATGATTTACTATGATTTACTATGATTCACTATGATTTACTATGATTTACTATATGTCTACTATGATTTACTATGATTTACTATGATTTACTATGACTTACTATGATTTACCATGATTTACTATGATTTACTATGATTTACTATGATTCACTATGATTTACTATGATTTACCATAACTACTATGATTTACTATGATTGACTATGATTTACTATGATTTACTATGATTTACTATTATTTACTATTATTTACTATGATTTACTATGAATTACTATGATTTACTGTGATTTACTATGACTTACTATGATTTACTATGATTTACTATGATTTACTATGATTCACTATGATTTACTATGATTTACTATATGTCTACTATGATTTACTATGACTTACTATGATTTACTATGATTTATGTATACTTCTATAGCACATCACGAGCAATCTGGACATTTGCTTATGGCACTTCCGTGTAGCTTGATGCGAGCCCACTTGTCGCCCGCAAGGAAGCAAAGAGAGCAGCTCAATGAAGAATTGGTCAAGGAGAGTCGGCTCCGCGGTGACGAATGGAACCTACTAGATGGGATGCTGAAGTATTGCCATTGATTGCTTCTACATTGCCATTCATGGTCTGGCCAGTGCCAAATGGAAATTGGAATGAAATAAGTGGGATATCTATATATATAGATATTGTAATGTAATATATATATAGATACATGCTGTATACATATAGTGATATATATATATATACATAGCAATAATAATACCGTTACATATCCCATGATATACTATCCTCTGAGATATCCTATGATAAATCCCATTACGACTTCGTGAACTCCTGGGGGCCAGGACGGGATCACGAGCCCTGAGAGGCCGCCAGTTCCAGATGACACACCCAGTGTAGCTGGACGAAGATGTCATGGAGTACACAACGGGAGATCTATGATGATATATATGTATATAGAGGCTTATATGTAGATATATATATATATATACATTATATGTTTGCACATAATGGGGCAATCTCGCCACTACAAACGTCGTGATGAATCAATGATGTAGGTATACGAAATAATAAACCATGCGCAGAAATGGATGGTATAAACTTTCAAAGACTTCCAATATCGGAGGTATTCTAAAATATACATTAAATTGGTTTTACCAGATAAATCACCTTCCCATCTTGAACTATTTTGGAAACTTGTTCGGTCTTAGCAAGGCTACAGCTGCTGTCACTCGGTGTGGGTCGAATTTTCATTGCGCTGTGACTTAGGAAGGTAATGAGGACCTTTGGGACAAGCTCCTCAGTTGCATTCCAGTAGCAGAGAAAATAAGCCAATGTGGGAAACCCAATGCCGTAACTTTCCTTTTGGGAGTTGTGTATAGAACCCGCTTATGATGATTTGGGGCGTGGCTTATTATTGCGTTTACATGGGTTTACCACATTAAATGATTGCAAAGTTATGAGCCTTCCAGCCAACTGACATAGACCCTGCCGAATGGAGGGGTTGCACGATTAGTTTCCACACACAAATGCTATTGTTACGGTCCATGTTGATTTGACGCAGGGTACTGTAAGTGATCTGAAATAGAGAAAGGCATGAAAAGGTATGGGAGAGTCCCCAAAGCAATCCAAACCACAAAAAACAAAAACAATGAAGGTTTCAGGGTGACCACCTACCCGTTGAAACACCTGAGGCTTGCTGGTACTGAAGGCGCCATTGTGCTATCGAAGTTGCGAACATTGGAGTCTTTAATTCACCTAAGTGTATAATTTATACCTCTTACACCTTGTTACACTTTGTTACTGTTTGTTCCAGCATGTTCGTTGGAGAAGCCACCATGTGGCTCGGAACTGGAGTCACTGGAGTCTCCCATTGACTGCTTGGCTTTCTGAAGGCCTGCGGGGACGTACTGAAAATGAGGAAGCCTGTCTATGTATGCCAGGGACCCTGCACGCTCCAGCGGCTTGTCCCAAAGCAGTCTGCTGGAAAATGCTGGAAATTGTGTGGTTTTGCTATGTTTTGCTCATAGAGGGTGCCTTAGCCCTGCTTTTACTTCTCGTTTATCCCAATCAGATCCAATCTTTCTTGGAGAGAGAGAGAGAGGGATACATATATATATATATATGATTCTATGGAATGGAGTTGGCTCCAGTACTCAAATTCTCTTAAACTACAGTTACGTGTTGGTTCATCAACAACTCAACACTTGTCGTTTTTTTCTGGGGGGCAGCTCTCCCCCATCAACAAGGACTCGCAGAAGGCATTGTCAAAGGAAGCAGAGGAAGCAGAGCAAGGACGACCCTGGGGGATTCTTACTGGGCCATGAGTAAAGTCAGGAAACTTCATTTTTGAAGGCTTCAGTTTTTCTGGAAACTCAAAGTTTAGTGGCGAATGATGTATATTATATAAATGAATTATACATGTAATGTATGTAAATCGTTTTTGGGGATAACCCCCTACTTCTTTGGCCGAGGTTACTAATCCGCGATTGTCAGCAGTATCAGAGGGCTCAGATGCGTGAAGCAACAGCGGGATTCGACGAACTTTTTATGAACAATTACTGTGTCGACTGTTTCTGTCATTGATATGGTCCTT